TTAAAACCATTGTTTGATATTTTAATAGGAGATCCTTCTCCAAATTCCCCTCGAGAGCTCACTATAGAAGCTAAGAAAGCCCTACAGACAGTTCAATTGGCAATAGAAAAACAACAAATTTCCTACATTGATTATTCTAAGCCTTTGTTCTTTGTGGTTTGTCCTTCCCAAGGAACACCAATGGGTGTGTTATGGCAAAATGCACCCATTTATTGGCTCCATTTGTCTGCTAACCCAGGTAAGAGTATATTGCCTTACTATGAGGCAGTTGCTAAACTTTGTATGCAGGCTAGAAAGTTTTCAAAACGTACTTTTGGATTTGAACCTCATAAAATAATAATTCCTTATGATAAAGAACAATGAAATTGGCTCTTACAGACTACAGATTTTTGGCCTTTAGCTTTTATTCAGTATTCAGGAGATACTGACAATCATTACCCTGGTGATAAGCTTATTCAATTCGCTAAAAATCAGGCATTTATATTCCCAAAGGTTACCAGTTTGCAACCTTTAAAGGATGCTCTTTTGATTTTCACTGATGGATCTTCTAATGGCATGGCTGCCTTTTTCCATAATGATCAGTCCGTCACATTTCAAACTAATTATGCTTCTGCACAATTGGTGGAACTCTGTGCTATGTTAGCAGTTTTTCAAAAATTTTCAGATAATAGAATCAATATTTATACAGATAGCCAATATTTGGTACATTCAATTCCCTATTTGGAAACAGCTGGACAACTTGATAAACAATCCTCGGCCCATTCCCTATTTTTAGAGATACAAAAATTGATTCAAAATTGAAAACAACTATTTTTTATTGGACATGTTCGAGCACATTCCGGGCTTCCTGGTCCTCTATCTTCAGGTAATCAATTGGCCAATTTTGCCACTAAGGATATAATAGATTACTATTCTGTCAATTTAGTCAATGACTCCATCTACCAAGCAAAAATTTTTCATTGGCTGCATCATGTTAATGCCAACACTCTTTCAAAAATGTTTTCTATAACCAGAGAACAGGCTAGAGAGATTGTTAAAAATTGTCATTCTTGTGCTCCATTGCTCCCTGTTCCTCATCTTGGAGTTAATCCAAGAGGCATCTCCCCAAATCGGATATGGCAAATGGATGTAAGCCATTTCCCAGAGTTTGGAAAAGTGCAATATGTTCATTTCAGTATCGATACATTTTCTGGGTTTCTTGTTGCCTCCCCATGAATGGGTGAAGCTACTAAGGATATCATAAGCCATTGTCTATATGCCTTCCAAATGTTAGGAATTCCAAAACAGATCAAAACTGATAATGGACCTGGATATGTTAGTAAAGGATTCTCACAATTCTTGCAATCCTTAAACATTCAACATGTTACAGGTATATCTTATAATCCTCAAGGACAAGGTATAATAGAAAGAGCACATCTTACAATCAAAACTTATCTTAAGAAAGTAAAAGGGGGAATATGGTATTCCAAGAGTCCTCAAAAATCTCTTGAATCATGTTTTATTCATTTTAAATTTTTTGACTCTTCATGCCTCCGGTCTGTGTGCTGCAGACAGACATCGGCATCCCACAACCAACACCAATTATGCCAAGGTTCATTGGAAAAATGTTCTTACAGGTCAATGGAAAGGACCCAATCCTGTTATAATTTGGGGAAGAGGTTCTGTATGTGTTCTCCCTACAGATAGCCCCTAATCTGTCTGGATACCTGAACGACTGGTCAGACAAGTCGCATCTACAGAGGATTCAACGTGGGAAAGCATACAGATGACTGACCCACTTCGAGTAATCCTGAAGAAAAAACAATCATAGTATGAAAACAGAAAAAGGACACTTTAAGCTGAAGTTTGTTATAGAAGTTTAATAGTAAATGAGACAGAAAAATATTAGAAAAGCCATAAGTAAGAGTTATACTTTTGCATCTTGTTAAAAACAGGTAAAGAAAGATATACAAGACCAGAAGGCCTAAGTATATAGAGGTGTGTGGAAATCATTTATTTATGTTTGCTTGTTGGTTTCAAGTTTGTTATAAAAGGTTTACATTTATAGTCAAGAAGAGTATTCATTCCTTTAACCCTAATTCTACAAGAGATCTCTGTTAATTTTGACCTGCAAAAATTTTGACTAGTCATAACAAAAAGATTTTATAATTCAATTGGCCAAAACCATCTGAGTGCACTCGTTAAAATTGTCTTATATGTTTGTCTGTCTTAAATGTTCAAAGATGTTTGTATGTTCTTGATCAAAATGACGTCAAATACAAATAGATTGTTGATTTCTACAACCTGGCTTTATAGGATCAAATAAAAAACTTAAAAGATGATTAAATATAACCTTTAAGTTTGGATATGCTCCTGTTGGTAAATAAAGAAGCAGCTGCTCAGAGAATTTATTCTGATCTTTGTTCACTAATGGGAGCCACCAAAATAATTTTCATAGCCTTATAAAAAGATATGCCTTGTTAAATATGTTGTTAAAAATGTCTATATTGGTTATCATCAAAGGTCTGAATTATAAATATGTTATTGTAACATGTTTCTGATGGTTATCTTCAAAATATACTATTTTCTATTTTTAAAAAAAAGGAAGATCCTGTTGATACAAAGCTACATTACAGGACATAAGAATTCATTATTATTGCTACTTTTCTGGTATATAAAATGTATTCATATTGTTTAACCATGCAGGCTTTCCAGCATATTGTTTATGATAATAACCTTTTGGTCCAGGTATTCTCCCTTCTCTTCTGCTCCACCTACCTATGGTTACAGATATATTTATAGACCTACCACTATCCCTGAACAGCTTGACGCTGGGTTTCCACTGAGGAGACCGGATTGGGACCCCAACACTGAAGCAGCAGAGAAAACATCAGGATGTGTCTCTGTGCACAAGCGGAAATCTCATTCCAAAAAGCAAAGTCTCCCTTCTTTATCCAGAATGAGGATTTATGGGACTGGTGAACCTCCACTGTCCTTAATACTATGATTTTATGGAAAATATGTTATGTTACTATACCTCCGGAAAGGTTATTGAATGACACATCTCGAAAGTCTCGGACTGGTCATTTCAAAATTCCACAAACTTAAGCTTATCTGCAGGACTTTGGAAAACAGATTCACGTTTTCCTCAAACCAACATTTGGAAACCTGCTGCTGCATTGGGAGAAATATGCCTATTGTCAGATGTCAAAGTTACTAGCCTTAGTTTGAATGTTTTTGGCATGGGGCCTCTAATATGTGAAATATCATAAATACTGTGTTATCTCAAATCAGATTTATATACAGCGCAAAACATTACATGCGCTCATGGACCTTAAGGAAGAGTCCTCCAAAAATTTGGGCATTTACCTCACTCAGATAAAAAGAGAGCTTCAATGAGGGTCTGGAAAGTCAAAGATGGGTAAGAGGAAAAGGTTTGACTGATCAACCTAAGACAGGGGCTTCAGTTAAATCTTCATTATGTTATAGGCCTATAAAACAGATGACCCCAATGACGGGTAAGATAGCCAAATGATTTTCCCAACCTAAGACAGGCTCGGACATGCCTATAGTTTCTCTTAAGCTTCTTCTTGCTATGGAACCTGAGTTTTAAAACAAAAAGGGAGGAATTGTGGGAATCATGAGTATTAGTTGTAAGTATTGTTAGCTTTAGTAACTCCATATTTGTTAAGTTTCTCCAGTTTAGCAGGCGGTGCGTTTCCTTTGTGGAATTCCTGAAAGTTGCAGTTTCTTGTCTCTGACCTTCAGATGTGTGGTTGTCTGGGTTACTACTACCCACGGTGGTTGTTTTTGTTGAGCCTGTTTGCTCTTTTCCTGTGTGAACTTTCAGTTACTATGGTAACCCCATCCCATAATAGTT